ACAACCCAGAGAATAAACTGTTCAGTAAAGCCCACTGCCAAGCTCTTTCATTAGCCACACCTGAACTTGGAATGGTTTCTTTTTTTCAGTCTCTTCTCCCACATTCTGTGGACAGAACCTTGGTGCTCCTACCTCAAGCGTACTTTCCTGATTTGAAAGCATGATATCTAACATCATCTTTCCGTAGCAGTTAGAGAAAAGCATTTTTGGTGAATAACTGACTAATTTTTTAATATCTGCAATTGCAGGTGACTGCAGCTCAGAAACAGCAGGTCCTGAGCACCACTGACATAATCATGCACAGGGCTGGAGACAGATAGCAGCTGGATTCACAGCTTAGGTGAACTGGCTCTCATCCATTTCAGAAGAGCAGTGCTAGACCATACAGTCATGAAAATGTATGGATATTTCTTTTGAAATGATAGTCAGATGTTTGATATCACAAAATATATCTTAGATAGGAGTTAGGTGTTTATAAAACATACCAAATATATTCAAATCATCATAAGCAAAAAGAAAGGCAGGATGGGCTGCCGCGCCTTGTAAGGGACAACATTACATTCTCTGGGACCACGCGGTCTCATGCCGACACATTTCTTCAAGTCCCACTTTGTTCTTCTTTCTCTGCAGAAAGAAGGCTTTCTACGCTTCTTACGTGTGGCCTAAGCAAGCTTGATATTGTTATGTGCAACTAGAGTCTCTGAATTCTGTTTATGAAAACCAAGACTCAATCCTGGTTCATCAGCCTTATCCAAAGGGCAGAATCTTGAGACCCAAAGCCAGCTGAGCAGATCTGGTAGTTCAAGGTTGCCTGAGACCAGACTGGACAATTTTTTTCTAAGAAAACAGAGAAAAATACAGGCGAAGAGAATTACTTATGTTTTTTAGAAGATATAATATTTAAAGAAATATTAAATAAATGTTTCTAAAAACCATAACTTTTATTTTGTTCATTTTTCTCTTCCCATTCTAACAGATTATAAACTCCATGAAAGTGGGAATTTTTTCCCCCAAAATACTTTGTGTATTACTCAAGGACCTAAAACATCACTTGGAAGAAAATTTTTGCAAAATGAGTCAATAAGAACCTCTATATAATGATAATATTGCTGAATACAATGCTATTATCTAAAGACAAAAGAGTAAAATGTCTACATGCATAGAGAGAATGCAATTTCTGGGATATATATCCTGTGATTTTCAGTACTTCTTTCTTCTGTTTACTTTGGAAAGGCAGTTTTTGAAAGAACCAATCAAAATTCATCTTTGAATATTTAATCTCAGTATATACCTGACACACAGTGGGTGTTTATGGATTGAGTGAAATGAATGAGCCAGAATAAACCTACTGCATGTTGAAAGTCACAGAATGCTACCCAAATATTAGATTGTTATATTCATCACAGTGAAGCTTTAGGAAAACGTCCTTGATAATAGTATTCAAAATACACTAGATACCAGAAGTCAAAAGTCAAACCTGGAAACTGACCCATGACTTTATCATGACCCATCTACCACTGTGAGTGTTTTCATTCTCTTTTCTCACAAGGTTCTAAATTAGCATCTAATCCAGATTTTTCTAAAATCCTAGAAGGAGTAAAATTTACAGAGATTTAGCTTATGTCAATCTAGATTTCTACCACCATCAATATTAAACCAGTTTGAGGTTACAAGCCCAGATTGGGTGCATGACATTCCCAAAGGGTCTTATGTTTTAGAAGTTTTGTTTTAAAAGGCTGGCATTATGGGGAAAGACAGAGTCTTTTGGAAAGTCTCTCTCTCTCTCTCTGTCTCTCTCTGTCTCTCTCTCTCTCTCTCTCTCTCTCTCTCTCACACACACACACACACACACATACATATACACACACATCTTCTCCTAGCATAGGTGATAAGAGATTTTGTTCCACCACACATGTTCCTACTGGGATGCACAACGTCAGATGCCCAAGGCAACAGGGATTATCAGTCAGCAGCACCAAAATAAGCTCTCTCTTGTTATAACTTACTTCAGGTATTTTGTTATAGGAACAGAAAGCTAAGTAACACAGAACCTCTATGATCTTTTATTTTCTTTTTATTTCAAAGAATTGCTAAAACATTTATTAATCTAGTATCATTATTATTCATTGTTCAAAATTTAACAACCATATAAATAGGAATAACTCTTAGAATACTTTGCTTTAGGAAAGACTGTTGCCTGCTGCTAAATCTATGAAAACAGTAGAATTTGGATAAGGTCAGGTATGTATATGCACATACCGTAAAATTTTTATGTGTAATTAAATCAGTATTTCTTAGATTCTCTTAGTCAAATATAAAAATGATTATTGCTCAGACCTGATCATTAAGAGTCTTTGGCTGTACCAGGAAAAATTAAATAGAATGGATGCTAGTAAAGCATCCAGTGGTCATAATAGCTGTAGTATTAGGTGTTCCATAAGAAATGTTCTAGAAAGACCCACGTAAATTTAAAGGATGGAAAAATAATGTGGTATTTGATCTAAAGAGTATATGTGAATATAAAATGCAGAAAGGGTGTAAGAAAGAAGCACATTCGGAGTGGGCCATCAAGAAGCTGTATAGAACACCCTAGTATTTCAAAAATTAGAATAAAGAAAGAAAAAAATTCAAGGAAGACATACATCATTAGGAGAAATTGTAGCAATTATAGCAAACAAGTTGTCCAACTTGGCTGGATGGAAGAGTACACAAAAGAAAGGGGATAAAGTAAATCTAAGGAGGTGATGCAGGATCAAAGTGCTCAAGGTCTAGCAGTTGATACTGTCAGTAATTTGTAACTTCATTGAAAAAACTACATTGAGATTTTTAATGTATATTTTTAATTGATTTTTTGTGCATTATATACATCTTAATCATATTTAGACCCCCTCCTCCAAACACACCCCATAGCTCCCCCACCATGCTTCAAGCATTCTGTCATATATGTTAAAGTCTACTGAGACAAGCTTTTGTACCTAGATGTCCCTCAGTGCAACTGGAGCACAGTCAGCCTCTCTAGAGTCTCTCCTTTAAAGAAGACCACCTCTTCCTCACCCAGCAGTAATTAGCTGCCAATAGTTCCTTGGTTGAGGTTGGAATCTGCTGCCCATTTCCCTGGTTCTATGCTGGTTTTTTGTCTAAGTCTGCATGGGTCTTGTGTATGCTGACACCATTGCTTCCTCCTTAGTGTGATATACCCAGAAGGCCACAACAGGCCAAGGTGTAGAGATAAGAAACTAGAGAGTGCCTGTCCCTGGGTAGGACTCCTATATAAACCTCACCCATTGTAGAAGAGGGGGTGGAAAGATTGTAAAACCCAGGGTTGGTACATGACCATAATAATTAAAACAGAGTCTTCCAGGCCTCTGGGAACTTGCTCATAAGAACTACATTGAGATTTTGCATAGGGTTATGTTACTTACAGACAGAGAGTTGTACTACTTATAAATGAACAGGCTGACAGAATAGTTTATAAATAATTAAATAAGAGTCCCAAGGCACAGAAAGAAGTTAAGCTATTGATGTAAACGTCAAGGTATGAGTCCACAGGTGCTAGAAGTAGAGCTGCAGCCATACACATGGGGATAAAGTGGAGAAGACAGAAAAGTGTATAGACAACAAACAGCCCAAAAGAAGAACTACAAGATTTAGCATCTAAAGGAGAGAAGTTGGGTAGAGAGAAGGCAGTTGCTATGAAACTGTTCAGTTTTGATATTGTTAGCGGAGACTAGAATACTGAGACTGGTGAACTAGGAAGCAACCAAGACAAAGATGATTCACAAATCCAAGGAAGAGGTGAAATGAAAATTTGAAGGATGAAAAGCAATGATATTAAAGGTAGAATCCCAGATAGTTGAAGAAAATCATGTCCAGGTAGCTAAGGCTGGCAACTGGGAAGGTAGCAGTGGTCACTGACAGAACAGCACAGAAGCTCATTCCTAGATGAGCTGGATTTCAGGCCAGGTGAATAAGCAGAAGATGGTGACAGTAAATGCAATCAATTTAAGCTCTATTTTTAGTAATTTTTTAGGTAATCAGAAAGAGGAAAAGAGCATTACAGACTGAAGCACAAAATAGCTTCTATTTCCCCCACATGTGAGAGTTCTGATCTATGGTTCTCAAATGAAGTCATTCAATTTGCCATTCCACTTTATCTCCTCCCATATTGATGGCAAAGTACACACACCGAGCTTATGAAATAGAGTCATTTGTCTTTAATGAGAAACTATAGCATTTTTCAGTGATAATGATCAGTTGGCATGTGGATGCATAGTGTGTGAAAAAAAAATCCTAGAGATAGTAAGAGCTTCCACTGTTTATTGCCTTATATTTAAGGTTTTCTTGGCAGAAAGCACCACTTGGCTCTGAATCTATCATCATTAGGGAAAAAATAACTGAATGCATATTCATTGTAACTGAATGCATATTCTTCTAGAAAAAAAGGCAATTGCTCCATCGTAACTTTGCATGCTCTGGCTCTAATTCCTCTCTTCCCTTCTGTTCCTTTACGATTACATGTTTTTTTCTACTGACCAGTCACCAATAATTTTCCATGTTCTGAAAATACAGGGCATTTTGTGTGATCAGGAATTCCAGGGCAGCAGCCAACACTTTCAAGGCCTATAGCTGTTGAAACAGCTCAGCATGTAAACTTCATAGCATGCTGTTTCTCAAATACTGCTTAGAGAATACCTATGTTCATTGCCCACCAAGAAGCAGACCTGTGAACAACTACATATAAGTATCTAATTCCCATCCTTGGAACAATCACTCACTCTGTAAGCCAAATAGAACTATCCCTGCTTTCCAAAGACTTATCTGCAGTAGTAATTGCTATTACAACAACCTTGAATGTGGAAATCACTGAAAAATTTAAGACTGTGCTTAGGGTTTCAGGGTTTTGGCTGATTGGCGTAATCATTTGCAAAGTCCGAGTTTCACATAATGTTTATTCTGACAACACTCTGGGTCACTGTTAGGTCTCGAGAAATTGCATTACCTATCGTTAGCAAGCAATAAATAAGGGTTATGTGGATCGTCACATAAATCCTTTTTCATTCTGTGCACTTCCTGTTTCTTCAGTCATCTGAAGCTTAAGTTCCTGCACACCACAAGTTCTTTGTGAAGGTGAGTTACTTAATGAGTTCCCTCTCATTAAGAGTGAAAGTGCATTGGGCTATACCCATTTGTTTTAATGTAAAAGGCCTTTGCTTTCAAGAGTGAAAGTGCATCGGGCTATAGCCATTTGTTTTAAAGTAAAAAGTCCTTTGCTTAAATCTCAAAAGAACTGGTTTCATATATTTTGAAGAAATATTCTCTTAGTGGACATTTGAGATCAAATTTCCCTGTGAATTAAGCTACAGTTAAAAGCAAATACTCTCTTTAGCCAAGGTCAGCTACATTCCTGGACTCTGAAGCCCAAACCAACATTGGTAAGTATCTGCTTTTGGGCCTCTGAGGCATGTATAAAAGAAAATTTAGAAATAAGAGAATTCAAAAAGTTTACAAGAAAATAGGAAAGAAGACATAGTTGAAGATAAGCTGGAGCATCTGCTGAAATGGTCAGGCCAGATGCACTGACCTGCCCTGTGGACGTATTGCTCATATGAGTAAAGTGTACCTGAAGGCTATAGGGTAAGATGAACTTCTTTTTATCTAGAACTCTCTAATGTTCACAGAGCCATCTTCAGTGGTCCACAGGGTTTCCTAACTGTTAGGGAGTTCAAGAGGAGATAGCAATTACAAGAGAATTGTAGAATTGCGACTTTTCTACCACGGCCCTGAAAAGGAAGATGTTTCTTAACCATTTAATATCTCTGTTCACTGAACATTCCTTAGTTCAGTGTATGTGTAAAGAACTGTATAGCAATGAGTAAAATATCTGCATTGAAAATTATCTACCCTCAAAGTATTTAGAGACATTGAAAACCCACAAACAACCATATGATATTACATGCTGGGCTCTGGTTAAATTTTTTTTAAATAGTTCTTTTCATTTGAATGAAAATTATGCAATTAACTTAAAACCATATTTATTTATTTATTTATTTATTTTAGCACTAAGAATCAAACCTAGGGCCTCACACATACTAGGTAAATGGGCAAATTCTCCACTACTGATTGACAACCCCAACCCAATAATTTTTTCTCAAAATAAAATGTAAAAGAAGCTCCCAACTAGCCCTTTTACTAACACCTCATTAAATAAGTTTTGTCACTAGCTTTCTTACATTGTCTTCCAAATTACCTTATAAGACTTATAACCAAAGAAGAGATCAGAATATTTCATGAGCTTTGTTCCTGAACTTTGGATGATAATTGGAATGAAAATCCACCTATACTTTCAAACTTCTATAAATTAAAACAGATAGCAGTTTCTCAGAACTGATAAATTCTTTAAAATATTTTATTATTTTCATTTTATGTGTATGCATGTATTGCCTGCATGTTTGTAAGTGCACTCTTGTTGTGCAGTGCCCACAGAAGTCAGAATAGGTTGTTGGATTCCCTTGTTCGCCCTGAACAGAAGTTACGAAGGGTTGATAACTACCATAGGAGTGCTGGAAATCGAACTGGGGTCCTCTGCAAGAGAACCAGAGCCCTAAACTGTTAAGCCTTCTCTCCAGCCTGATAACTGATAAATTCTTGCAATTCCACTTATCCCAATTGTCTGCATGCTGATTACAGAGATGCTTTATGAATTTGTTTTCTTTCTAATTGAGATAAATATTCTGGAAAATATTTTTTTCCAATATTTGATTTACAATAGCAAACAAATATGCAGCAAGAGAAAATACCTCTTTAGGTTTCCTGGATGAAAGGGTTTCTCCATGAGAACTCAGTTCTGGCAATGGAAAATGACATGGGAAAGGCTGTCTCTAATCTGTGTAGTGGTTAGCATTATTTGGAACCTTCAGGTCCCCAGGACCCTGAAGCCGGGGAACTGCAGCATTTATTCTGAATACCACACAGATTCTCACTGATCCTTCTGACCCCTTTGGTTTTATAATGCTGAAATAAACCATGAAATATTAATTGCTCACCAGGGAACAACAATGAGCAGGCAAGTGGAGTGATCTTTAAAGGATACTCGTTTTTATGATTGAACTAAACTAAGGCTGCAGCTTGTCTATGGGTTGGATAAAAAAGACTGGGTAAAATATATGAGTGGAATCTTTAACCCTGGCCTGACCTCCACAGACAGTGGCAATGGCTTGTGTTTGTTTGTACCATACTCATTGCCTGGCAGCACTAGATACTCAGATATGTGCAGATTATCTTTCATATTAAGGACATATTCAGCCATATGGTAATGGATCTGGTTGCTTTTATTCCAGCACTTTCCTCTGAGCTGGTAGAAGAATGGAAAGAGTTGACTGCTTTGTTAACTGCTTTGTTCTCATTTCTGAGTATACTGGGGAAGGAATTCTGATATCTGTCCTATGCTCTTGGCTTAAATTAAGATTTATTAAAGAAATAGCCCCATTTTATTTTTATTGAAGCACCCTTTCATCACAAGTAAGAAGAATACTCATAACATTAAAATATAATCAAAACTAACCTTCTGAGACATGTAAGAGAACTGTAATTCAGCAAGATAATTAGGCAATACTAAAAATTATGCATTTTTAAATAATTGGCAGAGTCATTCTAGGCTAGAATACCAGCTCCATGAATATGCATCAAAGCATGATGATACCTAGTTATGTTTCCTGCTATGCATGTGCATGTGTTGAATGTCCACAATGAGTGCAATGACTGAGTGCAATCAGTATCTTCATAGAGTGTAAAACTATACTGCCAGTAAAATAAATGCTGGTGAAGGTCAGTCACACCAGATACTCAGGAGCCTGAGGCAAGAGGGTAACAAGATAAGGCCAGTCTAGGCTATAAGGCAAGTTCAGTAGGTTCAAGGCCAGGCTTAGCAGTTAGTGAGACCCTGACTCTAAATAGCAAGTAAAAAGAAGTCTGGGATATAAATGAGTGGCAGATATTTCTCTAACATGCACGAAGCCCTAGGTTCAATTTACAGTACCATAAAATAAAAAACAAAGTGAATGAAATAGACATGTACCTATTGATAGGAACAATCTTCAAAGTTCATTATATCTGGAGATAATCAATGGAGGGCACTTAAACTTATGAAACAGTACATTTCCATATGACTTTTTCATATATCCTTAGTTTTAGCTAACCCTGCCTCCTGCCCCCACCCTTTCCATATCTTCCCACCCCCTTTCTGCTTAACCTTTCCACTCCCAGTATCTCCACTCCACTTTCACGTCCAAAGTGACCTATACCCCTCTATATAGAAGCCACCCACCACTACCCCTTTAATGTCCCCTTTCAATATTTCTGGCCCTTACCAGCACTACTCTTAAACACTACTCTAAAAATCCAAGTATATTCATTGATAGCTGGAATGTACATATAAGAGAGAACTTGAAGCCTATGTTACTGCACTCGGTATAGTATTTTCTAGATTCATCCGCTTTGCTGCAAATTTCACATTTCTTTGCTACTGAATAACATTCCATTGTGCATTTTCATTATCCATTATCTACTACATCTAATGTGGTTCCATTTCCTTACTCTTGCTAGCTGGGCAGCCTATTCGGAAGTTCTATTTTTAAGATTTCCATGTGACTTCACCAATTTTCACTCTCACCAGTAGTGAGTTAAAAGTGAGCCAAGTTTCACCACATCCTTACCAGAATGTGTAGTATGGATAATAGCCATTCTGACTAGAATATAATGAAATATCAAAGTAGTTTTACTAGTATTTCCCTGATAGCTATGATGTTGAACACTTTTAAAAGTATATTTTAGCCATTTGTGTTTCTTCTTTGGAGAACTCTCTGTTCAGTTCCATAGACAATTTTTATAATAGGGTTGCTTGTTTTCCTGATGTATAGATTTTTAAACTCTTTGGTTTTTAACAATATTTTATTTTTATTTATTTTGTGTGTATGAATGTATTGCCTGCATATGTGTAAGTACACCTGTGTCATGCAATTCCCATGGTGGTCAGAAGACAGCATCCAACCTGAAGCCATGAACAGTTGTTAGGCTCCAGGGGGGTGCTGGAAATTGAACCCGAGTCCTCTGCAAGAGTGTCCAGTGCTCTTAACCACTGAACTATCTCTCCAGCCCGTTTTTTAAACTTGTATATTCTAGACACTAATCTTCTGTCAGATGTGTAGTTAGTAAAAATTTTCTCCCATTCTGTAGGCTGCCTCTTCATTCAGTTACCAGTTTTCTTTGTAGTAAGAAGCTTTTGAATTTCGTGAGGTCCCAATTATCAATTGTTGGCCTTGTTTCCTATACCTAGAATCTTATTCAGAAAGTCCTTAGCTATGCCTATATCTTTAAGTGTCCCCCTTGCTCAATTCTCCACTCATTTGAAAGCTTCATGTCTAAAACTGGCATCTTTGATCAATTTGGAATTGATTTTTGTGCAAGGTAAGAGATAAGGTTAAAGTTTCATTGATATACCTAGATATATCTGATTTTCCCAACATTATTTGTTGAAATGCTATATTTTCTCCAATGTGTGTCTTTGGCCTCCTTGTTGAAAACAAGGTGGATGTAATTGCATGGACTGAACCCTTGATCCTCTACTTCATTGATCAACTGGTAGCCAATACCATGCTGTTTTTATTTCTACAGCTCTGCAGAAAACTTGAAATCAGGTATGGTGATATCACCAACAATTTTCTTATTATACAGAATTGCTTTGGCTGTCTGAGGTCTTCTGTGAGTCCATATGGATTTCAAGATTCTTTTTTTACTATTTCTGTGAATAACTGAGTTGGAATTTTCATTGAGACTGCATTGAATTTGTAGTTTGCTTTTGGTAGGATGACATTTTTCCAATATTAATCCTGTAAATCATTAAACATAGGAGGTCTTTTCATCTTCTAGTGCTTCTTCAATTCCTTTCTTCAGTGTTTTAAAGTTTTCATTCAGAGGTGTTTTACTTCCTTGATTAGACTTATTCCAAGATTTTTTTAGTTTCTTGTGAATGAAATCAATTCCCTGATTTTTTCCTCAGTATGTTTGTTATTTAGTATATAAGAAAACAACTTATTTTTGTATGTTTTTTATCCTGCCAGTTGGCTGAAAATGTTCATCAGCTCTAAGAGCTATTTCCTGAAATCTTTGGGGAACCTATCATGTATAGAATCATGTCATCTGTAAATAAGGATACTTTTGACATCTTGCTTTCCTATTTGTATTGTATTTATTTCTTTCTCTTGACTTGTTGCTCTGCCCAAGGGATGGAACATTATATTGAACAAGAATGGCAAGAGTGGGTACTCTTGCAGTGTTCCTGATCAAAGTGGGAATGCTTCAAATATTTCTCCATTTGACATGATTGCGGCTATAGGTTGTCATATATAGCTTATCAAATGAGATATGTTCCCTCCATCCCTAATCTCTATGGAAGTTTTTAATATGAAAGAATGTTGAATGTTGTCACAGCTCTTTTCTGCATCTATTGAGATGATCCTATGATTTCTGTCTTTGAGTCCATTTATGTGGTGAATTACATTTATTGATTTATGTATATTTAACCATCCTTACATGTCTGGAATGAAGCCAATATGATCATGGAGAATGATCTTTTTGGGTGTCTTGAATTTGATTTGCAAGTATTTTTTGAGAGTTTTGCAACTGTGTTCATTAGGAAAATTGGTCTGTAACTTTCTTTTTGTTGTGCTTTTATCAAGCATTGGGATTAGGAAAATACTAGTTTGATTTAAAAAAAGATTTTGGAAACATTTCATCCTTCCTTTTTGATTTTTAAATATTTTTAAGATATTTTTATGTGTATGAGTGTATTGTCTGCATGTATGTAAGTGCACCCACGTTGTTCATGCCTGTGGAGGTCAGAAAAGGGCATCAGATACCCTGGATCTGCAGTTACAGATCTTGTTAGTCACCATGTCCTCTGCAAGAACAGTCAGTGCTCTTAACTGCTGAGCCACCTCTGCAGCCCTGTCCTTTCCTATTTTATTGACTAGTTTGAGAAGTGTTGATGTTAGTTCTCCTTCAAGGGTCTGGAAGAATTCTGTGCTGAATCCATCCTAGGAAAGGAAAAGGTCTATTGCATCTTCCGCTTCCCAGCTCACAATCTAACACTGAGGGAAGTCAGAGCAGGAAATCAAGGGAGGAATCTAGAACTGAAGCAGAGACCATAGAAGAATTCTGCTTTCTGGCTTGCCCTTCTGGCCTGTGCTCAACCTGCTTTCTTATACTCATCAGGACCACCTTCAGGGGTAGCACCAACAGTGGACTGGGCCCTCTCATGCAGTTCAACTATTAAGAAAATGCCTCACAGACGGTCCAGTCCCATAAAGAAAATTTCCCAGTTGAGGTTCCCCCTTCCCAGGTGTGCCAAGTTGATAACTGAAGTTACCCAGCACACTGATAAAGATTTGATGAATGGTATTATGAAGTAATAGAAATATGGACGGATCTAAATTACATTATTCAAGCTTCATTAAATCCATTTTTTAAAAAATATTCTAAGTTCAATACTTTCAACAAGTGTTTATTCAACATACACTAGACTTGCTCTCATCCTTCTAAAAGCTGATCTGGAGAGCAATTATAAAAACAAACATACAAGGGCTAGAGAGATGGCTCAGCGGTTAAGAGTACTGACTGCTCTTGCAGAGGACCTGGGTTCGATTCCCAGCACCCACATGGTGGCTATGAACCATCCTTTACTCCAGTTCCAGGGGAATCCGATGCCTTTTTCTGACCTCCATGGCTTTGCATGACACAGATGCACTCACATACATGCAGGCAATACACTCACACATAAAATAAAAATAGTAAATAAAATATTAAAAAAACAAGCCAGTCACCATGATGTTTGCATTCTAGTGAAACAAGTAAAGGGAAAAGGAAAGTTTTATTTAAACTTAAAAATTAATATATATATACATGCACATATATATATATTAGAACAGGCTTTAAAAAAGAAAAATAGAGCAGTGAAGGGGATGGCAAACACAGAAAACTGCAAACTCAAATATGATTGTCAGGAAGCTTATTTTATGTGTAAAATGAAAAATGATTCATACTATATTTCTAAATAGTTTGCACATGAATATCAAAATGCATTTTCAGTTCTCACTTGCTATATTTGGGGCAACCCTAATTTTAGAAAATTTAAGTGACTAACAGTTACTGTTGTTTGTAACATGCTTCAAGTTATTAATTTAAAAGTCTAATATTTATTGAGTGATGATTCTATGCTAAAGGTCATTCTAAACATTTTACATGTGTTTTTTAATTGACTTCTAGCAAATCTTAAAACTAGCATACATATAGATAAGCTGAGACACAGAGACGCTGAGTGTCATTGTATGATTTTAAGCAAAACAATATATTACTTACAACAGCATTACATATATGTGGGTGCATATATGAATCCTGTTGCATGTGTTATTAAAACCATAAATACCAAATTGTGAATACGAGGAGGAAGGGATGACTTTGCAAATACCTTCTGGATACTCAAGGCACCCCAGCACACAGGTAGGGTGTTTCAGTCATGGTTTCAGCTAGCATCGTTCACATAAAACCCTCTTGTGTTCAGGGTAGTACAACTCCAGAAATAGAACTGTGTTTACAAGCTCCAGTAACACAATAATTAGTGTTGCTAGAAAGTCAGCAAAGGGATGCACCTCTTCTAAGAATAAACAGTCTGGAGCTCTTGCCGTGCGTCTTCAGCACACCTCTTTGAGTTTCACTGTCATCCCAGTGCAGAGAAGTTTGACCTGGAGGTTTCAAAGATCTATCCCAGCTCTAATGCCTGTGTCTATGTTTAGAACAGTACGGCAATGAACTCTCAGCAGGTTTCCAGGATGTCAGGAATGAAACAGGACCTACTGAAGAGTAGCCCAAACTCTTTCCTTAGTCCCAGGAAAGTATGAAAAACTGAATATACCCAAGGCTACCACAACACAAAATGACTATTTTGAGAAATAAATCATTATATAAACCCGAATGTTTGGATTAATTAAATGGCTTAGAAATATATACTACATACTTGTGCCCTATCACTGGTTTCTATACTATACTGGAGGTTGTAACTGTGGTAATCTCCATTCTAAAAATCTTTTAAAATCAGACTGGTATACAGGCACACTTGAATTTATGTGTTGCCTTTCCTAAGGAAGGTAGGGAGATGCAGGTGTTTTCTAAAATCATACTTGAGTCTCAGAATGACTTTCAAAGCTTTATCCCCCAAAGCAGTGGATGTCTGTTTCTCATATCATTCCATTTCAGGGCCCAGGAGTGATCAAAACATGACCGAATACCCCATCTTATGCTTCATCCTGCTCAGTACACTGATTGACAGGGGTGAAGCCTGTTTCTGTGACCACTACCCATGGACTCAATGGTCTAGCTGCTCAAAAACCTGCAATTCTGGAATTCAGAGCAGACAAAGGTGGGTCTGAGCTATGAGGGTTTTCTTTGTGCCCCTCAGGAAAGGAGTCCACAGTATCAAAAAGGGCCAAGCTATGCAATGATGGAACACTATATCGCAAATGAGAACAGCTTAGGGCTTTAAACAGAATTTGAGGTCTTTTCCACATACAATTAAAATAAAATATACTTTTGTACTCTCTGTAAAAATCAAAATTTCAAAGAAACTTAATTAAAAATCTGTGCAATATTTTTTTGGTTGACTAACTTACTTAGAACTGCTATTCAAGCTTTTTTGCAATCAACAGAAAACTCTGCTTGCCTACAGTTAGTGAATTAATTACAGAGGATTTTCTACTCATCAAACCAAATCTAACAGGACCTCAACTGAGCAGCACTGCTAGTTGTTTGCTTGATTGTTGGCATACTCAAGATAGCAGAAAACTTTATTTACCTGGTAGAGTTTAGTAATTCAGTCTACTTGCCCACACTCCTTCCTTACATTGTTAGATTTTCCTGTACCATGGAGGTGCTCACATGACTTGAGGGAGAAAGGCATATTTAATGTGTTTGAGTGTTAAGATCTTCTTTTTTAAAAAATTATTTATTTAATAACCACATGATTAGAATTGTCTGCATGTAGGTAAGTGCACCCATGTTTACAATAACAATTTCCAGAGCAAAGATGCATCTCTTTCAAAATTGGCTGTAAATTTTTAGGTTCACAGTTGAATCAATACAGTTATACAGTATTGTACTCAGTAAAAACCCTATAAGACATAAAATTGAATGAGGTTTTAACCTTTAAAAAAAATCTCTATTTCATTTTCAACTATACTGTTTCATACAGAAAACCTCATTTTTAATGCAACTAACACTTAGATTTTTGCACATGCATCTCTAATGTCTATATATCTGATTATTTCGAGTCACAATTGGTGACTTTCTGAGATCCTTGGCACCTGAGCATGGATATAAAGTCATCAAGTAGATTTCAGTGGTAATGTTTTTCACCTCTACTAATTAACATGAAGCAAATTTTTGTGCTTCTTCCTCAAATATAACTCATTTTTTAAATTTGTCAAAAGAAGCAACCAAGGAAGTGAAGAGAAAATCCACAGAATGGGAGAAAATCTTCACCAGCAACACATCTGACAGCCCTAACTCCAGTTCCAGGGGATCCGATGGCCTCTTCTGTCCTCCGTGGACATTGCATGACATGGGTACACTTACGTACATGCAGGCAATACACTCATACACATAAAATAAAAATAATAAATAAAAATAAAGAGGGCTAAGAAGCATATTAAAAGGTGTTCAACATCATTATTAATTAGGGAAATGCAAATTAAAACCACTTTAAGATTTCATGTTACCCCAGTCAGACTGGCTAAGATTAAGAGAACAAATGATACCAAATGTTGGAGAGGATGTGGGGAAAGGGGAACACTCATCCACTGCTGGTGGGGCTGCAAACTTGTTCAACCCCTATGGAAAGCAGTGTGGAGAACTCTTAAAAAACTACAAATGAACCTACCATTTGACCCAGTTATACCACTCCTTGGCATATACCCAAAGAGTGTTACAGCTCTTCTTAAAGAATTATTTTAAATTACCACGTTTTCACATGTACTGTGAATCTCATTGTAATTACCAATTGACTTCCAATAAACCATCCATGAAGTATAAGAAAACAGACTTGTTTATAACAT